ATCGAGCACCTAGTCGAGCACCTAATCGAGCACCTAGTCAGCACCTAGTCGAGCACCTAGTTGAGCACCTAATCGAGCACCCAATTGAGCGAACTAGGTCAATAGGCAGGTAGGCAGGTAGGCAGGTAGGAAGGTGGGGAGGTGTGTATGCGGGGAGATAAATAGATTGTCTTAAATCAATGTACACATTAAATTTAGTATTAATAAAAACTTCATTTCCGAAATTCACTATGGCGAATAAGTGTAAAAGTATACCTATCGGGCTATCATGCTGATCTCACGAATAAACATTATTCAGCCTTATTTTTCAAAAATACCTTAAATAAGACTGATCAAGCCCGTTAAGCCTTAAAATATTTTAAAATTATCAAAACCATAGTCTAATAAGGACCTTAGAAAGAAATAAGAGAAAATTGTCAAAAAAGGCGAATATCATGCTTATATAAGCCTAAAATAAGGCTTAAAAAAAATACCCATCCGGGCGTTAAAGCAGCTTACAGCCTCCAGTATAATAGATGGGGCGAACTGTGGGAAGGGAATTCTGGGCCCTCACTAACGTCCTTGCACCTTTGTGTGATTCGGTGGAATAAAGATTGTGCCGACGGCTCTACTGGATCCGATCGGCACTTAGCTGAATGTTTTGATGGAGGCACGCGCCGGCAGAGTAATTCATTGGCTTATATTTAAAGTTGTGATCTTTCAGTAACATACATGTAGATGTGTGGCGCATCATATGCTCTGTGATGGGTGTAACGCGATCCAGTGACCAGTAAATTATGAAATCTGATACCCGAGTGTCGATAGCAAGGTAAGATCAGCACGCCAGTGGACCATTTCCGAAGAGTTTTCCTGCCGGTGTTATGTATCACTGGGCTCAGCTCTCTTTCTTTTTTTTTTTTAAATCATAGTTTCATTGACTTCTGGGTACAAGAATATCGCATGTAGCTGACGCTATGACGTAAACAAAACCCCTCCCCAACTAAGAACACCTTAAGGAAAGAACAAATTGAAAGTTGTACAATAAGCATGAGACTGGACGTGACCCTGAAATCCACACAAAGAAACAGGCACTGAAAATCCAACATTCCCGGCCGAGCACGGGTACTTGGGGCTCAGCTCTAGTGGGTGGGAATATATATATATCAGCTATCCAATATATGCTTAGAAGGATATCGTAGATAAGCTGTGAGTGGGCTCGGTGATTACTTATCGCATATTCATAGCCGCTCGAGATTCAAAGTGCTGGGTTAAGGATCTGGTTCTAATTGCAATTGCAAGGTGTTTCCAAGAGAGATCGGCCACCAACATCTCGATCGGTGGACGGGCAGGCGCAGGTATCTTGATGTTATGTCTGTACATGCGCATGCGAACTCTGGTGGTGCACTTCGCGCGGCGTCACAAGTAGTTGAATTTACAGGATCTCTCATGACCATATTATCTACATACTACTCGGGTAGGTAAGAAATTCGGAACCTGGAAATCACTTTGAGTGTCATCCCCTTACTCTAGTAGTATTTTCAGGTTCTAGCTCTTCTTGCAATTTCCTGCCTCGAGTATATAATGCGGATAAATGTTATAATTATGATAAAGATGCAGAAAGAATTCCTTCATAATCACCGTTGATAGTCCCGGCATTAGGTTGTACAGCCACTCTGCAAAAGTGTTCGTGATTCCGATTTCGGAGTGAGACATTTCTTCATATGTAACCGTGGCGGACTATCAAAACCCCCCAATAAAAGACTTTCCTAGTGACCAATGGCGCCCGAAATCAATGTTGAAGGTGATTATGACCTACTTTCTTTTATATACAGTCACGAACTATATTATATATTTTTCGTTGTTTTGAATCTCAACATTAATAACATCAACTTCACGGGTGCGCCACAGTGCGCACTGACATTAAAACTAAATCACGAACACTTTTGCAGAGTGGCTGTATCAACTCGGACCACCAAGACACAGGAAGGTAATCTTGGTCGGAGATGGCTGGCCCATGAATTATAAAACTTCCATGGGGCGATTAGTGCAGTTACATAACTATAGAGGTAGGGATAGGGATAGGGATATATATCAGGTGCTTGGCGATCTTATCATATCACCGTATATGACCTACATGACACACGGCGGCGGTAGTCGGGTGTTTGTACACGGTCATTGTATATATTCTGGCGCGCTATATATCTGGCGGCGCGGATGGTGGAGGTTCGGTTCTCTGGTGGGATATTGGTGTTGGTGGTGTGGGTTGGGAGAGCTGCGTTGTAGATGTTGTCGGTATATACCGGATGGATAGCTATATATACAGCCAACAAACCCCCCCACACCTCTTGCTCACCCCCCTCATCATCACCAGCACCCTCCCCGCCGCCCCCCTCACCCCCTCCTCCCTCCTCCCTCTGTAACCATGATCTGGGTAGAACCTTTGTGGGTTGTGTTTGACTAGTGACCAGATGTGTTCAATTCTCATCTGGACATGCGAGGATCAGTCTGTAGTCTTTCTTTTCCTCCCCGTACCTGCCGACCCCAGCCCCTGCAGCTTCCCACCCCGATCTTTCCCTGCTCCTTTTGCTGTTTTGCCTGTGGTGGAGAAAGGAATACCGAGGTTTGCAGATGCACATCACCGAATATCTGAACTCTGGACGACCTGGTCCGCCAAGCCTCACCAGATCTCACCCTGACGGAACTCCTTGACCAGGGCCTAACCCTAAGCAGTGACTGGTAAAGGGTACATGACAAAGTCCTTTCCGCCTGTTTGTTTCTTTGGAATGGCTTTTTACTCATTAATGGATTTTACCTTTTCAGCACCACGATTGTACCGGTCTCCCCTCTCATCGAACGATATCCGTCTAACCGAGCCGCTCACGCCAACTTGCCCGATGGGTCTGTATTGCATCCGTTTTTCGGGGTTCTGCTGGTTGGCATCTATTTATTGACTTTTTCTTGTCATTTACTTGGTTTTAGATATATTCAAGTTGATTACTCCTTCGAGCCTTAACGGCGTTGACTTGCAAACAGTCTTCCGCTTGTCCGCCGAGGAGCGTCGGGGGCTTAAGCGTCAGTTGGTCGATATTTGTCCGGATCTTATTGTTGCTCTTCGTGATCCGGCAATCTCCATGCTCAACTCTGTGCTTTGTCGCTACGGCTTGCGTTTTGATTTCAAGCCTGATCGCGACCATCTTCCGTGGCGAATTCAACAGTATTCGGTGCAGCAGTTACACTCCGTCTGGACGGATCGACGCGCCGACCCGCACGAGAGGCTGCGAGCGGTGGTTTACTATGATGTTCATTCCTCGACCTCTGCCCAGAAGTTTGTCATTTATCGCTACTATGAGACGTTGCTCGGATTGCTTGAGCGGTTGGGTGATTGCACCGCTTTGACCTTGAAGGTTGGCTAGCCATAGCTTGCTGGCTAGTGGTGGTTATGTTTTAGGTTAGCCACTGATTGTGTTTGTTTCGTCTTTAGTTATTTCCTCGTGCATCATGTTGAATAGTACCTTTTCCGTTGTTCTTTGAACCAGCAGGAGGTGTGGTATTTCGTCTCGTGTCAAAGTGTACTGTCCTTTTGCAAACACGGCAGTGTATGACTTGTTGTTGTTGTTGGACTCATCCATATCCTGTGTGCTGTAGAGCCAATACGAGGATTTCAAGACTACTGTGTTCTTTCTACGATTTATTTATTGTAACGGGGTTCGGGGGCGCAGCCCCTGAGTAGGAGTGAAGCGGTGCGAACTTCTGCCGACTACTAGTTATTTAGGGTTCTATTCTATTGTTCTGAACCTAATACTACTAACGGTTTAAAAAGCTGATATATGGGAGTGAGGTGGTCCGACGGGAACAGAAACAATCGTAGAACAACAGTACAACCCGTCGTGCGAGTCGGATCAGACGAATCAGTACTTCTGGTTTCTGCGGCGACAGGCAGCAGAAGCATCCGCCAAACACTTGGTAAGGGGTCTGTATGTGTTTCCCGGAGAGAGAAACATGTATTTATTTGCTGGAGGCTAATATTCTCCGCTCAATGAAGCTAGACATCGTGTTGGTCTACGCAGTGCTAAAAATAGATCTACTAATTGAATGCATCCCTAACCCTGTACGGTGCCAAGGCCCACTGGTTTGGAACGAGAACGAGAGAACATGCAAGTGGGCTTCCATTATCATGAGACTGATGGTACTGGATAGAGATACGACAAGTGACAATATGGTAAGAAACAGCTGGACGTCAAGTACATGTGTCCAGAGTTTTGCTACCTGTTATTTTTACTATCAAGACCACAAGTTCGGTTCTCTTTATGCATCAAGTAGTACGCGTTTATTTACAATGTCTTTGTCTTGTTGCTCTCGCTCTTGTTAACCGCGCTGCTCGGACGGACATGGTGTTCAACACTGTGGTAAACTCGGTCGCATCGGTATCATACTCTGAGAGGATGATAAAAAGGTGTTTGGACGGAGCTAAAGACGATCCTGAGGGGGCCGGGGGTGTGAGGATGCAGCGAGAAAACCATGGCGAATAGTGTGAGAGAGGTAAAGACACAAGGTAGCCGTGGGAAGGAAATACCTCCAGAGGTGTTTGTTGAAACATGGTATATATCGTGGCCGGCGCCGTGAGTTTGGACCGTTTGGGTGCTCGGGGTGCTACCTTGGTTCTGTACGCATCTGCATATCTGGGATAAAAACCAGGATACTGATGATATCCCTCCTCTTGTTTTTGAAATATTTGCTTCGTTGTTTCTTTGGTTTGCTAAACCTGTTGATACTGAACGTGCCTTTAATTGTCGCGAGAGTATGCGTGTCTTTTAGACAGCATACACGTGTTCAACATCTTCTTTTGTCTTGCTATATATAAATAGAGGACCTGGTCCCTCTTACATTCGATTATATAGATCAATACAATCACCCATCGTCTTACTTTCTCTTCTCGCTGGACCTAGCCAGCACTTGAACACGCCCAAACAGAAACTATCATGCAATGCGATTTGCTAAGCCAGGCTCTTCTCGATCCGCGCTCATTCAAACGGCCAGTGGCATTTAACCAGCCACCGAGCAAACACATTGATGGTTTCTTGCAGCCACAGGCACGTGGCGGGGTTGCGGCAGGCGTCGCGGAACCAGGAGTCGGAGTTTGAGAGGTCGTGGATCGTGGCGTGCGGGGCGGTCAGGGTGGCGGTGGTTGTGGTGTCGGTGCTGGCGGTGAGGCGGAGGAGGTCATGGAAGGCGAGGGAGGTGTGGGAGCCTTTGGTGAAGCGGCGGGTCTCAGTGAGGTAGGTGTGGTAGGCGGTGTGGCGCTCGGGGGTGCGGGGGCGAGGGGGCAGGGGGTCGTGGTAGTGGAAGTGCGGCCGGTTGGCATTGGTGGTGAGGCGGCCGAGGGTTACGGTGTCCGGGTGGATCATGGAGCAGCGTCTGTGGGATGTGGGCGGTGGGCATGGTGGGAGTGTGGCTGGTTTTGGTGGTGCGGAGTAGAGAACTGGGGGGATATAGGTAGCTGGCTTTGGGGTGTCCTGGTGCCGGTATATTAATACTCTTGTCTTTCCTCGAGCACCGAGGATATTGCTCATGATATTATGTAGGGCGAGCAGTTCACCACACCGCCCGAGGCTGAGCTTTCATGCATCCAGAAACATAAAAAGGAAAGGAAAGAGAAAAGTGCGAACCGCAAAACTGGATCACATTTCCCGCGCCGGAGCTTCACAGGCAGGGCATACTCCAATCGATATCTTGGATCCGCTTGGCCAGACTTTGTGCGTGGGAGGTCGAGAAACACACGGATTGGATCTATGCCAATACTCAATTACAGCGTTCGATCTCTGCCTTTCTATGCATGTTCAGGCTGGTTTTTAACTTTTCCCTCATTTTGTAACGGCACTTGGAGTCAGGCGGAAAGCAACTGTAGCGTTTATGTTTGTAGAAAGGATCGAGATAGCGTACTCTTGTTTCTTGGCGATGTTTAGTGGATAGCAGACAGTACCGTCGTGTTCCCGGGCAGAGTATTGCCGGTCCGCCGGTCCCGATTTTGTGGAGCTCAAAGCCTCGTCGACGGCATGAGATTGAATTCATGGGCTCTGCCTCGCTACGAGTGGTTTTCTGCGTCGATAAAGGTAGGTGGTAGCTGGAGGGGGTTGGTCGTATATATGCATATTCCATAGACCCGCACGGCGTTGATTATATCGACGATCAAAATCAGCCTCGTTGTAAGACTCACAAGACCGGAGAAGGCAGCCTTTGGGAACCTAAAGCTTGTGTCTCAGCGGGTTGTTGATGATGCATCGATCGTGCCAATCATGATCACCGTTATATATGTACTTGTCGGACGCAAGGCTCTATCGGAAGGAGAAGTGCACATTTCTTTTAGGATGGTTATTATCCTCGTGATGGATAGTGAAGGCTCTGATAAGCCGAAGCTAGTATCGCCGCTGTGACGGAGATTTGCCATATGGTAAATTCTCAAATCTCAGTTTTTCTTGAGCTTGGGGGCGCCGGAGAGACACTAGTATTCAGGGTTAGGGTTGGACAGGGTTAGGGTTTGTTGCAATTGGTATTTTGATTTGGGTTTCTGGTGATCTTGATGCGCGGTTTGCTCCGCTTGTAGATATCTAGACGTTCAGCTTGAGCGGTGCGCGTATTGAGCTTGTATCGGAGCTTTGATTCGGGGTGGGCGTTGTGGAGCCGGGGCGCCGTTTTGTGGTGGGGAACAGTCAGTATAACGGTAAAAGGGCGGGGGGGCGTAAAGAAGATGGATTGCGATACCTTGAGAATCATCAGAGCGTATTCGTGTTTTAGGACTTGGGTCTATTGCAGTGAGACGTCGTGTGGTGTGTGGAATGCGCGGTTGAATAGAAGGTGGTCTACTGTGCATCAGGAGATATCACTCGCAAGCAAGGTCTCGGAGGCTTGCTGTTGAGAGCTTTTATGAGGGAGTTGGCGAGGTGGAGAGCGGTTTGCTACATGTACTCATCATTGAGGCTTGACTGCTGCGTAGACATACGAGATGGCCCAAAAAACTCAATGAGTGGTGACCGAAAAGTGCTCTCCCAGCGAGGTTACATGTAGGTGTGTATGGACTTGTTGCATTGGTGGCTGGAACTATCCGATGGAGAAACGACGCTGTGCTGAGAAAAGGGGGTACAGGTATGGTGTAGTTGATTGCTAAAGGGAAGAGCAGAGATGACCTGGTATGGATCACGTGCTATCACTCGGAGAGAAAGCTAGCTTCTCGTCTGGATTTTAGCCCTGTGGATCTTGCATGTATGCAACTTGATTAATAGATTATATGTTCCCATTATCTTCACTGAGTGGGGGGGTGAAAGGAAGATTCGTTGATTACATGTAGTCATTCAACGTCCTCATCCCCGATTCCATGACAAATGGCCGACATAAGAGGAAGAAGGCAGGAGGAAGGATGATATCGTGGCCTATGCCGCGTAGCTGGTCGCTATTTCTTGGCGTGTGTGTGGCATGTTGAGAGGCTCGAGGCACAGCAGAGGAAATGTACATGTACGTACATATATGTGTAGGTGTATACTGTTGCGGGCAGGGATAGGTGGCTGGTCCGGGCAACTCTTCTTATATGGACCTCTCTTCCTCCTCCTCCTCCTCCTCTCCCCGTGTTGTCATTATCCGCATCATTATCATCATCATCATCATCACCGTCGATACCATCGTCAATGTCCTAACCCCACTCATACCACCGTCAATACCATCATCAATGTCCTAACGATAGAGCCACATCATGTGGCAGCTCGATGTATGTATATTTCAGTCAAGTTGTCGATGCGGAACAAGAGGCTAATACATCAAACAGATAACTTCCGCAGCCATCATGACCTTGATGCCAACACTGCTGGATAAATATTGGGCTCGTCAGCGGGGATCGCAACAACAACAGTCACATCATCAGAAGATGTCCCGCCTCGTCGTTGCAGCAGTCCCACCGTCACGCATGAGCATGAATATCAGTCCACCACCCTGCAAATGGGTGGAGGTTGAGATCATTTCTCAAAAGGTCAACGCCAAATACTGCACAAGATGGTGCCCCGATTGCACCCCGCAGTACACCCTGAGAGAGATCATATTCTTTATTGAATGTGACTCAACGATGGTCAGGTACAGCGGGGGGATCTCTTTAAGGGGGATGGACATGGACATACTTGGAACTGTCTATAAAGAAAACGAAGAAGGGGCATCAGCTTTGCTGAAGGTGGTAAGGACTCGAGGGGTAACTCGGCAGAAGGTTCGCCTCCAGATGCTCCATAAGACCGATAACGTAAGTTTATTCTATACTTCCAGGTTTATGTGAAATGTTGACTTCATGGGTATCAGTTTGCTAAGGTTTTTAGTGGATTAACTACGTTCTGTTAGGTGTACTCCTAGCGATCGTAGCAATCCTCGTTAGGGTTGCCAAGGGGCTTCCTCACGATGGGGCTGTAGAAGCTTTCTACCAATTATGGGGCAATCCTTTTGCCGGTGCGTTACAGTCCACTATCGGGAGAGCCGCAGCTGTGAAGTTGCAGAAGGAGGCATTCTTAGCCGTGTGTGGTGTCCTGCGGAGAATATTCTTATCAATATACTCATTAGTGAGCTCGACCTGTATTCTTATTGTATTTTAAATTCATAATATGTCAACAGTTATTAACTACTGTGCACTTGTTTTCAGAGTGCAGTGAAGACCTATATTCGCTTTATCGACTAACTGTAAAGGGTCAAAGTTTAATTATAAGTAACCTATCAACTGAGACTTGAGTCACGGTGGAGCACAGCGTAGCATACCTATAAAAAAGCCAACAAAATAGTCTTTAGGACGCCAACTACGTGACAGACCATATGTTAGTTGAAAGCTCGGGATAGGTAATCCATACTTTGATCTTCTGCATTAATTGATGCATTTCCATGCAAGATCTGGCTGTGGTGGGGCTGCATTTACCCATGTAGCGTGCGTCTATAATGCATTTATGCCGATGGATTTGCTTGCGTGATGTATTTCCAATGATGCTAGATCTATAGATATATAGAGTAGATGACTTTCAGGTTCATCACAGTAGATCAGTTTATGATCACTTCTCCATTAGTTTCTTATGTCCCCATCAGTTCTTTGCACTCCCTGTTAGTTCCTTACGCTTCCCATCAGTTCCCTCTGTCTCCTGTCCTTCTAATATAATTTCCCCGGTAAAACGACGATTTATACTAGTTGCTTCAATCCGCCATCACTATTACTATCCCCATCACTATCCCCACCATTATTACAAGTATCAAGGTGGGTCCGATCCATCGTGCTAATTAGCAGAGGCAAAAGCAGCAGCTGAGGCATCAGCAGAAGCATCGGTAGCGGCGAAGCACTCACACTAATAAAACAATAGTTTTCCCTGGTTGTTCGCAAATCCAAATTCGTCCTATTCGGCAATCGGCCGGAATATACGTCTCGAGAGAATACAGATCATACCTTATCGACACCCCTTTGCATGGTCAGATAATTCGCGCCTCATGAATATTCAAATCAATGGTCTTATGCCTATTTTTGTGCTCTTTGATGTCGAAAACTACTGAAAGTCACGTGTATATATTTGAATATACCTAAAGGGACTTTAGATCGATGGTACCAGCCAAGACGTCGAAGAAAACACCAGAAACAAAATCGGCTTCGGAAATATCTCTGGGACGGGGATTTAACAAGTACCACATAAACAGACATGTTTTGAGCCGATCGGGGCGAACAGTCTAAGCCGGTCATAATCGGTCAGGCGCCCTTCATTATAGGCCTTTTGAATGTATTCCTCAGGTTCCCGGGACTGTTTCCGTAGTTTGCAGGCCAATCTAGCCTTCTCCTCGAGATCAGTCGACTGCGGCGGGCCTTCTATCAACTTCTCATAAACGAGACGATTGTATGCCAAATTCGTGCGGTAGTAAGGTGATCGTGCAGGAACATCCGCCATGTCCACAAGTGGGGTCTCAAAGATGTGGTCCCATAACCACACTAAGGGCTGCTGCCAAAAGGGCCGGCGCACTTTTCAAGTTTGAAATATTAGCACGGTTCAATAGTAATATCAAGAGAAGACCGCCAGGGGAGGCGTCATATCTGTCGGCCCCACCTAGCTACCTACCGTAGACAATCTTATAGGAGTCTGTATGAACTAAAAGACCCCTCCAGTACGGCTCGTCGTCGACATAAATCTTTCCGTTCACCATAACTATCGCGCCGAGGTAGTAAGTATAGAGGTCTTGGGCTAGCTGGTAAGATTACATATACATACTACCAACAATATCCTGCGCGGAGGCATCGTCATGTTGACCGAGAGAAAGGAGAGCACTATCTAGTTGATACTGTTCTGGAGCCTTCAAATAAAGGTACGCGTAATCCTTACGGTCAGTGAAGCGCGGTATTAGTTGGATCCATATATGGTCGATTGGGACGGTCAGCTGACCAGGATCCCGGTCAAGAAGCTGTCTTGGACTCATAATATTTTGTTTCGGACTACAATGAATGATATTGTACGTCTTGGCAGGCAAATCTCGTGTAATAGAAAGAGTATAAGATGTGTCTCATCCAGAAGCGGATATGTAGAGGTATTTATATAATGTTTGGGTAGGCTCAGGTCTACCCAGGCGGTATGACGGGCAAGAGCTTAACGTATATCACTGGGAAGTCGGATATAACTGTGAAGTCGGATGACTAAGACACACCTCAAATTTCTTCGTTTGCAACTTCAAAGTGCTGTATCTCCGCATCCATAGCAGTTATGGGGAAGGTGAAGCAGCGTGCTGGTGCCCTTTCAAGCAAAGAAAGGGAAGATCGAATTCATCGTGCCCTAGTCAAGAAGGCTGAAACACCAAAAATTCCGTGGTCTGTCCTATCTTTGGAGTTCGGCATACCCGCTTCCACGCTCAACGATCGGTTCAATGGCAGAAAGAATCGCCAAGAAGCTCATCAGAACCAGCAAAAGTTGTCACCGGTTATTGAGAAGTCACTTAAGAAATGGATTCAAGATATGGATGATGCGGGTTTTCCTCCTAGGGTGGATCTTTTGCGGGGTATGGCATCAGCTTTAGCGCAGAATATTGCGGAGGAGGACAAGCTTGATCCTACTGCGGCAATTATTGGCCGCAACTGGGTCTCTCGATTCTTAGACCGACACCCTGATTTGGCAGCAAAATATAGTACCCAGCTAGACCGACAGAGACAAAATGCGAGCAATCCTATCACTCTGCGCGATTACTTTAATAAGCTTAGCCGGCTTGTACGTCGCTTAATCTCCTTGGGACTTTGGCCTAGTGACGATATTTACAACTTCGACGAAAAGGGTTTTATTCTTGGATATTCGGCAAAAGCAAAAGTAATTTGTCGTTCAGGCAGACGAAATCCCAATGTTGCACAAGATGGATCTAGAGAATTAATTACTGTCGTGGAAACGGTTTCTGTTGGCGGACTCGCCTTACCACCTTGGGTAATATATAAAGGGAAGGGCCACTACATGGGCTGGCACCAAGAGACGAACGAGGCGAATGCTGTATTTGCATATAGTGACAACGGCTGGACTGACAATAATATGGGACTGAGATGGCTACGAGAGCATTTTGATGTGTATTCTTCGAAAATCAGTGGGACACGACCTCGACTACTGGTTATGGATGGTCATGGATCACACTTAACATATGAATTTTGTTCATATGCACTATCTCATAATATTTATTTAATCAGTCTTCCCGCACACTCCACACACCTCCTACAGCCACTAGATGTCGGATTATTTGGTCCCCTCCAGCACTACTACGGAAAAGCGGCGGACAATCACATAAGAGAAACCCGGACAGGCATCACAAAGGGAACATTTTGGTCTTTTTTCACAGAGGCGAGAGCCAAAGCCTTTACCAAGCAGACAATAAAAGCCTCTTTCCAGGCCACTGGCATCTTTCCGCTGAACCCGGATAAGGTGTTGACCAAAGTGAAACCCAATCAGCTTACCGCTATACCTGTTGGCTCAACTATTCTACTTCAGAAGCAACTCTCAACTCCAAAAAACCGCCGAGAGTTGCGCCAGCAGACACATTTTGCTCTTCACCCAGAAGCGCACCTAAAGGTTGGACTAGCAGAGTCAAAACCAATTCTCAATCAGACCGATTATTCAGCGATCATTCTTCGCCTTTCGCACTTAGCTGAGGAGTCACTCACACAAGCGGACATAGCCAAAATTCAACTCCGGGATCTCAGGGTCAAATATGAAGGTAAAAGAGCTGTTAGAGCAGATAGGCGGGTCTTATCCAAAGCTCAAGTCATTACTGGAGCGGAAATCATAAGGCTCAAGAACGCTTTAGAAAAGAAGGAAGCCGCAAAGGAACTCAAAAAAGAAAGGTCCTCTAATGCCTTGAAAGATAAATTATTAGCCGAGAAGGAAGAGGAGGCGAGAGATAGTGCAAAGCAGAGGAGTGCGCCAACCAGGAGACAGCCTGCAAGACCTAAAAAGAACATGTTCTAAATATTTTTGATCAACGGGTTCAACAGAGAATCCTGTACCTAGGTAAGACCTTACTCTGTCCGCAATTATCTATTCTAGTATCTCAAATCAAACTCCCTACTAGGCTCCTATTCTTATTATTATCTATATTTATCATTTCTCGTACTTCAACTGGTTTTTGGTTTGGACCCGCTGGTTAAAGGGAGAGATTTGGACATTGTCATACTGTCGGGGTAGAAGAATTGGAAAAGATGACTTACCTATTGTATTAACAACTTCTTTTGACTGCTATATTGCTTAATCTCAGTTCTTCATTCACTCGTACTCTGTAACTATTTGGAACGGCCATGAGCAAGGAGATAAAGTGAGACAACATGAGTAATCTGAGACATCCGACTTCAGGGTTATATCCGACTTCGCCGTGATGTACGTTAAGTACGGTTTCCATATAGAGAGCTTGAATTTTGTTATATTGATACGACATGATGACGATGATAGTAGGAAAAGAGAAGAATTAAAGGCATAAAGGGATGTGCAGAGAGGGATCGAAGCTAGCTGTTAGTCACCTCTGCGATTTTGTGATGTGCTCTTGATTTATATTCCACGCGGTTTAGTAGGGTTTTTCGCATTACTCATAGGTCATGTAATTTGAGTTGGAACTTGACCGCGCGAGTGCAACCTGTTCTCCTATCACTGGATTGCATTTTATCCATCTATCTGTGCCAGGAAATCTATCCGGCCCGACATGAAGGGAAAAATCAATATCCTCACTGACCAAAAATAATTTTTAACACCGTGCTAGATGAGTGTTTTCTTTATTTTATTTTGTTCCTGAATTCTATTTCAAAATTCCCCCTCGTTGAACGGCAACTCCCTATTATATAAGGTTGTCTGTCACCTTTCCCGCCAACAACCTCACTTCTCCGGGTATGATATCAAATTGACAGTTTGGAAGTCCAAATTAACGGAAAACCACGTTCCGTGGATCAAAGCGAGAAACTATATCCCCAGATTTCAGACGCATATACTATGTTCTAAAACTGCTATAATCGAAATATGGCATATTTGGTTGCCACCTCTCGATATTCAAACACAACATCTACCGAATGAGAACTCGTGAAGAGGAATAGCAGTCCGTCAAGGCAGTATTCTCTGATGCCATCAAACTATCCCCAACCATCAGAACAAGCTGACCAGAACTGCCTGTGACCCCCGAACTCCCACGGTCAACATACCATCCTGCAACTCCATACTCTCCTCCGTCCTATTCCTCACCACCGGCCTTCCTTCCGCCAACACATAATCGTATACCACCCCACCTACACTCACCCCCTCCGTTGCATCGCTCTCCCCCGCATCTAATCTCTCGACCTTCGCGATCCTGTACCCCTGCGGCCCATGGAAGTTATACACCCTACTCGGCCGCTCATACACTGCCACCGCTTTTTACTCCTCCAAATTAATAATCACCAGCCTTGCGAGGATAGAATTATCGTAGACGGCGTACACCGCCTCTGTATCGCTTTTGCGCGGGATACTGAGCGGCTGGGTTTTATGTTCGCGACCGAGTGCTTTGGCGACCATAATATTTGCGTAGTAAGGCGGGCGAGTGGTGGGCGGGATGCCGCGGCTGGCAATGGGCTGCCAGGAAGCGTAGCGGTAGTTAAGGCCTTGGTGGTGGTGGATGCGTTTTATATTTTATGCTTGAAGGATTAGAGAGAAGGGCGAGACAGGAGTGGAGGGGAAGGCACACCTGCGAGGCGCACCACAGGTCGTAGTCAAGTAGCCAGAGGGCAGAGCCAAAGACGTTTGTCAGACCGTTGGAGCCTTGGCCGGAGATGCTGTTGGACTCGCCGAGGATGAAGGGCAGATCTAGGTTTGAGAGGGCCTGTGAGAGGTTAACGTGTTTGGAGATGCTATACACGATAGAGCTATGGTTCATGAGTGTTCCTATAGGGTGTGTTATTCTCATGCTAACTCACTCGTTTCCATATAATATGTTGGAAATTGTAGTAACTCACCTCGAAGCGTGCTCGGCGACTGTGAATTCATATAGCTAAAATAAGACCAGCTTCATCAGCATTCTATCTAAACTCAATTCTTCCTACTTATGCATCGACAACTCCCTAATCCTCCCCTACCCATTTATTCCAATCTCAAACGCCTCCGCCGGCTCGAACCCTGGCGTGGCATAACGATCCCACGCAAACGAAGGTTCCACAAATCCCGTTCCCACGTCTGGACACGATTTCTGCAACTGCTCCACTATTGCCGCCGTTTTCTCCCTCCACTCGCCTACATAAGCGGTCAAGGTCCAGTTCATGGGTCGATACCGTCCGGGGGCAAGATCATTCTCGTTCCCTAGCTCCCACAAGTGCAGGTTGGGACCTATCGCACGGCACGCGAGGTCGGCTTGGTGCAATAGGCTTGTGAGAGCGGAGGTGCCGTTTTTGCCTTGGTTGAAGCCGTGAATGTAGCGTGTGTTGGGAAAGATCTGGAAGGACTCGAAAAAGGTGGGGCTGATGGTGACGGTAGTGGATTGGTCAGAGGTGGCGGTGGGGAAGGTATTATTGATGGCGAGTGGGAGGAGGGGGTCGTAGAGGGCGCGGTCTCTGTGATTTAGACTTTGGGTTAGCTATTGCTGAGATTTTCAGCTTTCCTATTGGCTGCTACTGGTCGCCCATCTGCTGAGTGCTGTTTAGGATATATAGGAGGGGACCAAACTGAGTACCGCCCCCAACCCTAACCATGGGCAAAACACCTGTCAGCTCACCCAAATTCGATAAAAGATTTACCGAGAATATATTCGGGTGCGATTAATTCCCTTAAAAGCACTCCATCAGCAATTGCCTCCATATATAGTTATCAAGAAAAGACGGGACCAAACCTGCATAGTGTGGAAAAAAGGCGTATTCCATAGAGATCGAGCCAAAGTCTTTCGGGACTGGGCTGCTCGCACCAGCGGGGACATGTCTGGCGAGAGGAATGATACTGGAGGAGTTTGTTGAGGATGCTGCCGGTGCAGCGGAGGAGGTGGAGGCCGTGAAGAGGAGGAGAAGGAGCTGTAACATTGTAGCTGTGATGGATTAAAATGGCCACGCTCATCGCGATGCTGAAAAGTTGTCCTTTATTTCCTATTTCCTACTTTTCATCATCTCTCTTAGCTATAGGACATCCAAGACACGCAAAGTGTCTATATTATCATTTCCCACCGCCCCACGCAATCGAAGTAACATCTCCTGCACATCTCCTCTCCAATCAGAACACATCCTGATCACCTTAAATGAGCTGCTCCCACTATGAAGGAACCCAGGCCAACCACCGGATGCCGCCGGAAGCTAAGAAGTACCACCCCACCGGAGGTCCCCCGGACATTCCCCGCTGCCATCGCGCGTGGGGGTTTTGCGGGGGATGCGCATCGATACCGAGTTTGAGTGCAATGCCCATGATGCATGATGCATGTTTCGCGGTTTGATGTGAAGTGGTGGTGTCCGGTAATTACGTCAACTACACTTCGGCTACGCCGGAGGCGGTAGTTGAGAGCTTCGAGGCAATCTATGTATCCGTTTAGAGCGCCAGGATGGTCCTCTCGGGTTAGTAAGGATAGTAGGGGACTATCATCGGGTTAAGAGGAGAGTAGGTACCGTACGGTAGGAGAGGGAGGTGCTTGAATGGTAAAGTAACAACAAGGATACTCGTAATCATGGAATATCACTCGCACTAGCAATTCATGTCTCACCGATCATTGATGCCGTATCCAGACCTCTCAGCAGTACCTTTCCCAGCATCCCAAATAACAGCCGAATATACACGATACAGGAATTGTTTAGTTCAGGAATATAAATGAATCTGAGGCCACTTGACCAACACCCCCTATGCCTTCTACCTACTGGTGCTTATGTCTTTCGGTATTTATTCTGTGATTCTTCCCCAAGAATCATGAATTCGTGGAGTCGTTCCGAACAGAGTCGGTAAATAGCTCGGGCTGACATGGCAACATGGTCTTCAAACTCGTGAATAACTCATTATCCGACATTTGAGGTATGTTTGCCTCCATTCTTCATATTCGCTAGACTATGTACATGAACGTTTTTGACCAGCACAGGAAGGAATTAACCCTCTGAGCACTATTCGAAAAATAATCACCCATGTTAAGGCATGTCACTCCAGCTTAAACCCCCTCAAACCCCACTCCTCCTACAAATGAGGCCCAAAGTTCAGCCAGCGGACCGTGCTACACGTCCCTTTCTCCATACTTCTCACATGAAAAACGCTTCAAAAAAGATAAATAGTCCCGATAAGTAATATAAGATACCTCTCAATATATAACTCCCTACAGCAGATGACCTCGACTTCCCTAAGCGGATAAATGTATTGAAGAACCTAGGAATTGCCCAGGACCACAAATTGAAAAGACCCGCCCCGATTACGAGAGATCAATTGGTACCAATGGTAATGAGATAGGAAATCCTCCACAGAAGTCGTTCCAGGTCGGTAGGGAAATAGCTGTTCCACAGAATGGCATGGATACCGCCGTAGATGCAGGGATAAAATATCGAGACAAGAGAGTGATCCTCTCCCATAGATATATACCTTGGCATATGCAGAGATCGAGTAATTGAGACGAATAGGGGATATTATTTCATGTCTTCCATGGTAATATTGATGAAGGGTGGTGGAGACGAGGATCTAGGAGTCCTCTGAGAGAGTGTTTTGTAACTCGTTCGCGGCGAGAATAAAGATGTCAATGTCGGACTTGGTAAGCTCGGTACGTGTCCGCCCTGGTCACGCTAAAAGAAGATACTGATTCCCGATGAATAAGTGTAAGGCCCAGCTGTATTTTTAGGACATCGACATCAATTGTGGGACTTGGTGGCGGAGGGGATATAACACCGCTCCGATACACAAGTAAATCGGCATACCCAAGCGAATCCGACCCGAGGTTAATGAACTGAACATTTATTAGCTCTGACCCCTGGACAATGCGTGAATCTCGAAGGTCACCCCCGCAGTGAGTTATGACATGAAGTAGCGCACAAGTCTCTATACGAATAAATCTTTTCGAAAGTGTGATTGCCAGCTTCATAACGTCATGGGGCTTGTGCCACCAGGCGACGTACAGCGCGAGCGCAGTAATCCCATATACGATAGTGTTGACCTCGAGTATGGAAACAAGGATTCCAGCAATGGTGGACAAAGACAGTCCAACACCATCCACAGGACCTGCGAGCATATTAGGAGCTTTGCTAGTGTATCCGTCTTCTGTTTGTCTTGCATTTTAGCATTGATCATTGTGAGATGTGCAGGCATAATAACCTGGTAGCGGAGATGTAAAATGATCGAACCTCCCCAACGAGCCAAAGCTTGAGTCGAAGGCTTGTCGGAGAATAAGGACAGTCTTTAGCCACCCATCACGGCAAATACACTACATGTATATCTATGATACCGCGTGAATATATAGACACAAATACCGTACAGATTAATTAATAACTACGGTCTTAAATACTGCACCAAGGGCGTATTTCTCTACCGGAGGAGAACATGTCGATCATGATTTCTCACTCGGTTATCCAACACGGTGAAATCTGTAGCTTGATTTCATTAGAAATTAATCCGTAGCTACTTGTTATTACTTGGCGAGGTGTTAGCGCATGGAACTTATCATCTAACAAGCTTCAGGCTTTTATTAGTATTTGCTTACCACAAGATATCGATCTGATCACGTCGAAACTTCACTGAGAAGGCTGGCGGCCGGACACAACGCCGAACGCGGGCCTCCGAGACTGAGAGTTTTCTGCCAGGAGCATTACAATATATTGATCTCTGATCAAGCATGTGACATGAGCTCCTGAAACTATTGTAAGTTGCTTCTGTGTGTGTGTGTGTGTGAAGTCATTTCATTTCTAGTTTCTAGGTATAAAATGGTCGCATGCAGTATAAACTATGGCGTAAAGAAACCTTTCCCCGAACTATCCCAAACCCGTCCCCTAAAAGAAAATCCAAAATTTAAAGACAAAAGAAATATACATAAGAAAGTAATCGCAGAACAAAGGAAATATTTGGGCCGAGCCCTTGTGCCTAATATAGGTCTTTTCTAGGAAGCATAGATCGCGGGTATTGGTCCCGTTGGTGTGAGGGGTGAGGATATAGTGGATGTCGATGTAAGGGTCGATATAGTTGTGGAGCCTGTAGCGAGAGGTGATGGGAGGGCGCTTCTGGGATATCCCATTCTTGTGGAAACTATGAAGGCGCCTAGTGCTGTGGTAAGGGTCTGGTCGTTCCAGATATCGTTCAGCGATGTGATGGTTCGTAGTGGACCATGTCTATTTGGGGCGAGTTTGGGGCAGTGGAGGATGACATACTCTGGTGTTTCTTCCGCTGCATTACATCGTTCACATATAGAGGGGGTGTGGGCAGTCATCCAGGTCTTTTGGGCTCGGAGATAGCTCTTCCCTGATCTGAATTGATGGATTCGTGTTGCAACGAATTTGTGGAAGTCATTGAAGGGAAGCGGGGTGGTGGAAAGGGGGTGGGCGTAGTATTCTGGGGGTGCGTAGTGCAGTTGCCAGTTGACGAGTAGTTGGGTTTTGCATAGCGATTCATTTGTTTCGGGGCAACGCCTTCTCTTATCAAGGGGAGAAGGAGGGATCCGAGGAATTCGATGGGTAGGTGTGCGACGCCTTTAAGTGTGGTTGAGTTCCATTTCTTGGGGGGGTTGGGGAGCCCTTTGAGGAGTTGGGTATGTGAGAATGTTCTATGATTGGAGATCGTTGGGAAGGAGGGGCTCGTCCTACCGGTTACAGGGTTGCCGAGGGGGGATGCTTGTAGGATTCGAATGGCGTATTTGCATTTGAGGTAGTGTAGGTAGAGGTCCAGGGGGGGCATGTTCGCCTCCGCCCATAGCACTTTGCGGTTGGTTGCCCTGAAGCACCCTGTGGCTCACCGGAGTACGGAGTTCCAGAAGGTCGTCATTGGTTTGAGGGCTGAGGTTGGGGTGAGGACGTTTGCGCCATAGGTAAGCATGGGTCTTATCGCTAGGGTGGCGGCCTTTTGGCAGTTATGGGAGGAGACGCCTTTGCCTGCGGATGAGAAGCGTTGGATAAGGCCGAAGGCCGACCTTGCTGAGGCTAGTCTTCTTAGGAAGTAGATGTTGGGGTTAAAGGAGGGGGAGAGCCAGAAGCCCACCCATCTGACTTGGTGCCCGGGTTGGAATTCTTGTCCGTCTAGGAGGATTGGGGTGTGGCATGTCGGGGATTTGTCTCTTGGTGTTCGCCAGTGCATTAGTTCTCTTTGTGCTACCGAGAAGGAAACATTTTGAGGCGTGACCAGGGCTGTTAGCTTTTGGTAGTGATTCTGAAGGATGGTAATGTTTTGCTGGTATGATGTTGAGCCGACTGTGATGGAGAAGTCGTCCACGCATGAGAGGGTGAGACCGGGTGATGGGTCGTAGTTGTAGAGGAAATTGACATAGATGACGAAGAGAAGGGGGGAGATGGGAGAACCTTGGGGGACCCCTACTTGAACTGTAGTGGGGATCTTCGGGGAGCCTTTAAATAGGAGGGTGATGTGCCTATCGGAGAGGAAGGATAGGGTCCAGTTGATTATGTATGGGGGGACAGATTTGGCGGCGAGGAGGCGGGCGAGGGTTTGTTTAAGAACATGGTCGAAACTCCCTATGATATCAAGGAAGAGGGTGGAGACTTTCAGCTTGGCTAGCTGCATTGCTTTCGTCTCATGTATTAGCGTAGTAACGGCGTCGGCTGTAGAGAGGCCGGCGATAGAACCGCATTGGTGGGGGTGGATAAGGCCTGTGGTGGTTGCGATCTTTGCAAGGCGGAGTGTGACGATCTTTTCCAGAATTTTGGAGAAGGTTTGTAGGAGGACGATGATTCTGTATGCCGTGGGGGAGGAGTAGTCGGTCTTTCCTGGCTTTGCAAGTATAACGCCGTTGGCTCTTTTGAGGGAGAGGGGGTGGTATCCGTGCGCGAGGAGTGGGTTGAGGAGGGAGGTTATGATGAGGGGGTTTGCCTTATGGATTCTCTTCCAGACACTGTATGGGATTGTATCTGGGCCTGGTGCTGAGAGATTGGAGGTTGTTTTCAAGACGTTTTGGACTTTCTCAGGGGTTATGGGTGTCACGTCTTGGTAGTTGATGGGGGGTGGTGATGGTGCTTCCGTTCTAGGTGGGTAGAAGGCGTTGATTAGGTTCTTATTGAGGAGGGTGGGTGTGGGTGAGTTTGGAAGTGAGGGGACATGGTCTTCCATCTTTGATGCCATTTTCTTCAGTCTCCAGAGGTCCTGGGAGCTGGCATTGGAAACAAATGAGTTCCAGTGCTCTTGCTTTGCTTGTTTTATTGCATTGAAGTAGGCGTTTTTGGCGGCTTTCATTTCGAAAGGGGGCGCTCTGCCTTTCCTGTATGCTCTGTGTACTGTGTGGAAGATGGTTCGAAGTTGGGTGAGGTTGCCTGTCCACCACGGTTTTGACTACTGAGAGATCGTTTTCATTGGCGTGTGTGATTTTATAAGGTCTGTGACAGCAGTGAGAGATTTTTCAAACCAGTCGTCTACCATGGCGGGCATGGGGCATGGAGGGATTGTGGTTTGATTGAGTTCGTCGATGAGGGGGGGCCAGTTTGTTCGCTTTCAATTGGGGGTTTGATACGGGGTGAAGTCTGCTGACGGGAGTGACATTGAGATGGCGATGATTCGATGATCGGATCCTGACGTGTTTGATAGGGGGGTCCACTTCCTGACTAGAGCGTTGGCCTGGGGGTTGGCGAAGGTGAGGTCTATCACGCTATACCTTTTACTGGGGTCAGGGGATACTCTGATGTGAATGCCTGGGGTGTTTAGGAGTATGAACCCAAAGCGGGTTGCTGTATCAAAGTAGGGCTGTGAGAGGCGGAGTTCTCGTTGAGAGAGGGAGCGGAGAGGGTCGGCGGAGGGGGAGTGAATATTAAAGTCTCCTAAGATTAGGCATGGGTTATCGGATGCACTAAAGATATTTGGGGGGCTTAGCGACCGGGTGGAGCTGTCCAGCTGTCTATTATATAGGCTGGTTATCGTAACGGTTAAGTGGGTGTTTGTGCTTGTTTTGCAGAAGAGATTGACGGAGCCGATATCTCCTCTGTGGGATGGAAGGGTAGTGAAGGAATTCTTGTCGAGGATGTTGGTATTAAGGTAGATGCATGAGGATATTTTATCCTTCTCTCTGACGGGCGAGGGGCAAAGCAGTGTGAAGAACGGTACTGAGGGGGGTTTCCAATTATGGAGGGGGGGTTCTTGAATTGTGACTATATGGGCTTGGTGGGTCATTGGGATCGAAAAGAGTGTGAGGAGCACTTGATTGCTGTTTGCGCAATTGTGCTGTATGATGCGGAGGAATGATGGGTCTTTTGTTGTGTCCGTCATATTCTATGACTGGGGTGTTGGGGGGGTGGGTGTGGCGGGTGTGGGGACTGTATTTGCATTGGGGTTACTGGGGGCGGCGACGTCTTCTGGTGTGATGTCCATAGCCGTAGATGATTCCGCAGGGGGGGGAGGCGGTGTAGTCTTGTTGAGGTCTCTACCGGACCTATTCCTGTTGATAATGGCTATGTATATGGGGCATGACTTAGAGTCGGCGGTGTGGTTGCCACCGCAGTTTGCGCATTTTGCTGGCGAGACTGCACAGCATGAGGGATTTGGTTTTAGGAACCCGGGGCAGGTGTAGATTACACAACGATGGCCTCGCCGGTCATGGTCTTTGGTGCAGATTGGGCAAGTCACGAAGAGTTCTCGACACCCTTTAAGGGAGTGGCCGAATTTCGAACATCTCGTGCATTGCGTTGTGGGTGAGGCCGACCACATGGGTACGCAGTGGGGAGGTCTTGAGTATAGGCGGATTGAGTCGCCAATTGAGGCGGCGTCAGTGGAGGAGACTGTGACTACAATGGTGGATATGGCTTTCGTGTTTCGGTAGGCGTCGTCCTTGTTCAGAAAGCGTGTGGCGATGGGGGTGATTCCGGAGGCTAGACTGAAGACTTCTGGGAAGGTATTGTCCAGAGTTTCTTTGTCTGGGATTGCGAAGAGTGGTATGCTATGTATGGCGATATCGACATCTGTCGGGGCTGGGTGGAAGGTGGAGTATGGATTTTCTGGGGTGCCTATTTGTTGTTCACAACAGCAGTCATGGCTTCAAACCAGTGGGTGTATGTTGAGGATGG